CAAATGTTCCATGTTTTATTATCAAAATATTTTCTATATAATGGGGTATGTCGGTATGTACCTTGTACCCCATATGCGGACACACATATCCCAATTGAACCATGATTCTCACGGTCACTCTTTTTCCCTGCTCTGGCAGGTGGTCGCTAGCATCAAGCAGTGCTGCCTCCCAAGGGGAACGGGCCTACATTGGGGCACCAATGGGCAACGCACTTTGCAATTTTGAGATACTTTTAGCATTGAGCTGATCAAGTCATAACCACTAGGTATCACTAGGGTCATCTAAAAGTTGCGGCACAAAGTCAAGCAGTCATCTACATTGTAGCACCCAAAAAGATAGAAACACGAGTTACCCTCTGGTAAACAAACATAGCTATTGAACATGGCCATTTATAGTTGATTTACCCATGAAAAATGGTTATTTTCCATAGTTATGGGACAGTTTACCAGAGGGTAACACTATTTCAGTTGGATTTAACCCTTCTAGCTTTCTTGGGTGCCAAACGCCATACAGCCACCTGACCCTGATGCTCGTGGATCTGTCGATCTCACCTGGCAGGACATGGACCCTGTCATTCCGTTCTCGTATTGGGGTTATGTAAAATAAAGGTACCCCAAAATGATCAAAATGGATGGTTTATAATGGAACATCCTACAAAAAAAAGATGATTTGGGGGTACCCCCATTTTCGGAACCACTCATGATATATTGCAGATGTGCATGTGTATGTAGTAGTATTGATGCGATATGCAACCTATGTACAACATACACCATGTGCGTTCAAAATTCGAGTCGCTAATTCCCATGTTACACCTGCAGGCCGCTAACCGCTAATCATGCTAATCCAACCTGCTTGGACTGCCATTTCTGGTTACTTGAGAACTTGTATTTCCTTGTAAGGGGGCCCTCCCAAATATAAACATGCCAACAAAAGCCGATCAATCGATTTCTTAAAAGCTGGATCAACCAAAGAGAACATGCAAAAATGGAGTGCAGAAGCCATCCAGTTTTTGCCAAGACAATGGCGCGAAATGGCGCGAATCCAGCTCGAAATTCAAATGTCAACTGCAGCTCAGCAAAATTCCATCCAGCACCAGGCTTTGAAGATTGTTGGGCCAAATCACTTGCTCCAAGTTTTGGTCGAACTCCTCGCTGAAAGTCAAACGTTGAAGATTGCTGGGCAAAGTGACAAATTCTAGGTCTTGGTTGAAACCTGCTCCAAAAGTCAAAGCTTGAAGACTATCCGGGAAGGTCACTCCAACCAAACTCTGGTTAAAATTGTCGTTGAAAGTCAAGTTTTGAAGACGAGTGGGCAGGGTCACTCCCTCCAAACTCTGGTTGAACAAACGACCAAAAGTCAATCTTTGAAGGCTGGGTGGCAAAGTCACCCGATCCAAACTCTGATTAAAGTGCTCGCCAAAAGTCAATTCTTTAAGGCCACTTGGCAGGGCCACTTCCTCCAAACTCTGGTTGAACATCACGCCAAAGGTCAAGCTTCGAAGGCTGCTTGGCCAAGATATTCGCTCCAAACTCTGATTGAACTCAAAGCCAAATGTCAAGGTCTGAAGACAGTCTGGCAATGTCACGTGCCCCAAGCTGCGGTTAAACTCGTGACCAAATTCCAAGGTTTGAAGACAGCTTGGCAAGATCATGCTATCCAACCTGCGGTTGAATAGCAACCCAAACGTCAAGGTTTGGAGACTAGCTGGCAACCTCAGGTTCTCCAAGTCTTGGTTGAACCATTTTCCAAATGTCAAACTTCGAAGACTGGATGGCAAAGCGACTCGATCCAAACTGTGGTCAAGGTTTCCGCTAACAGTCAGATTTTGAAGGCTACTTGGCAGAGTGACACCATCCAAGCTATGTTGCCACAGACAACCAAGTGACAAAGTCTGAAGACTACTTGGCAAGGTCACATGCTGCAAACTGCAGCAACAGGCCGGGCCAAATGTCAAAGCTTCAAGACTACTTGGCAGAGTCACTCCCTCCAAACTCTGGTTGAACAAACGACCAAAAGTCAATCTTTGAAGGCTGGGTGGCAAAGTCACCCGATCCAAACTCTGATTAAAGTTCTCGCCAAAAGTCAATTCTTTAAGGCCACTTGGCAGGGCCACTTCCTCCAAACTCTGGTTGAACATCACGCCAAAGGTCAAGCTTCGAAGGCTGCTTGGCCAAGATATTCGCTCCAAACTCTGATTGAACTCAAAGCCAAATGTCAAGGTCTGAAGACAGTCTGGCAATGTCACGTGCTCCAAGCTGCCATTAAATTTATGACCAAATTTTAGGGTTTGGAGAGAACTCGGCAAAGTCACTAGGTCCAAACTGTGGTTAAACTGCCGGCCAAGAGTCAAGCTTTGAAGATTGCTTGGCCAAGACATCCCCTCCAAACTCTGATCAAAGGCCAAACCAAAGGTCAGGGTCTGAAGGCTATTTGGCAGTGTCATGCGTCGCAAGTCTTGGTTGAAACAATTTCCGAATGTCAAACTTCGAAGACTGGATGGCAAAGCGACTCGATCCAAACTGTGGTTAAAGTTCTGCCCAAAAGTTAAGTCCTGAAGGCTACTTGGCAGGGTCACTCCCTCCAAGGTCTGGTTGAACATGAACCCAAGAGTAAAGATTTGCAGTCTGCTTGGCCAAGTCACACACTCCAGGCTTTGGTTGAAATTATCACAAAGGGTCAAACTTTGAAGTGTTTGTGGCAGGTTGCCCAAATACTTTCCAGGTGGCACCTGATCCAAACAAGTCACTCCATTCAATGCATCCTCATCAGCCTCAGAGGTCTCTATCTCTTGAATCAGGCACCATGCACGGTACAAGTTTGTTGCTATGCGTGCGCCGGACAAGGTCGCCGCACCCAAAATGCCTTGCTCTTGCAAAGTTTGGTGCATTCTGAGTCTGGATTCCATGCAATACAAGACAAACTTTGTGCCCGGCTTGCCAGGGAGTTGATCTGAAACCATCTGTTGGACCTCCCGCCCAAGGGTTGAATGATGAACTTTCAATGTGACTCCTTCGCCGGTCAAGCACAGCACGCAAAGATCAACATGATTAATTGAGCCCTTGGAAGACGGACTCGCGTCACCATCGCTCAGCTGTCTCTTCATCAGTTTGGTGTTGTCGCTCAAATCAGCTTCTTTGACATTCCATTGGTGTGTGGTACTGGACCTCGTTTCATAGTCCGCTCAAAATAGGTCCACTTGGTGTCACTTAGTCTATAGTTCTAATTTGTGGGTCCCTTTGTTGAAAAACAACACATCAATCTGCAGATGGGATATAACTATATACACAGGATCCTGAGCCAGAGGTCAGGTGCTGAATCTGCCCAAACCATCCCAGACCCATGACCCAAGCCCGAATCGAATACTAGCGCTGTCGCTGACCGGCATCCAAAGATAAGGATATGCCCAAGCGTGAACGCACACGAACAAAGACCATAAAGGTCGTTCTTAGATACCTATTGTCTTTGCGACGCATTATATATAGAAAAAATAGCGCACCGTTTGCCACCGACTTTGCCAGTGGTTGGATGCTCCCCGCAGGTGTCATAAATCCATAAGTTGATAGCCATAATGAATAGATCGGGCATGAGGTCGCGATACAGAAAATTCTTCAGATTTATGGTTCCATCCAAGCGTTTTGCAGAGAAGACACTTATTCTTCTGGTTAAATCCTGATCTTTGCTAGCTAAATCCTGATTTTTGCTCGTTAAATCCAGATTTTTGTTGGTAAAATCCTGATGTTTGTTGGTAAAAACCATCAAATTCCTACTATCCCAAGTCTATGTAGAATTGAAGCCACATCTTTGCAGCTTAGATCCCCCATCCCCACCCCCAAGACACCCTGGGCCAAGGTGGCCCCTCTACCATAAGATAAAAACCATAATACATCCTACTGATAAACCAATTTTTTGCAGTCGTTTGGGGGGCCGCCTTGACAACCAAGGATCATCACAATTCATATCTATATGTTTTCCCACCTTCAGCATTTCGCCGGCTTTCTTATCATTGAATCACAATCAATCACAATGATGAGACCCCACAAATCCCCTTGTAAAATCACTATGAAGTGCAGGGACCTACTGATATTCCCATTTTCTGGAGAAAAAATCCATTTCCCACCTTATTGCCACATTGGCGAGCTGCAGTGCTAAGCCCAAGCTCCAGCTTGCACTGGTGGCATTGCTGAAGGGACCAGGTAAGGACTGGCAGAAGCGAGATGCCGGAACATCTCAAAGTGGTGGAAGGCGGGATCATGTATTGTATAGGATTATCATGTGCATTATATATTTAGATGTGTGCACACATACTATATATATATGCTAAATTCATCTAGTAAAGTTGCTAAAGCATATAAAGATGTCCATTTGGCTATAAGATGACTCTGGACACAATTACCCAAATGATATCCATCACAGAAGTCCGGCAAATAATATAATTTATATACCAGGTATATATTCTTTGCGGGGATGATAGTGGGATCTAATTTGATATAATGGGAAAAAACTAACCACCGATGATATGAAGTGTTATGCGTGCCACCAATTGGCCAGTTGATTACTGGGAAGAAATGGGCAACTGCCACCTTTGCGCGGGCAAGGAAATTAATGGAAATGACATGAAATGAAGAGAAACACACTGGGTTTGAGGTAAGGTTTGAGGTAAATCATACCCCCTTTTCCCAATGTCTTCGAATTCTGCGGTGCGCCATTTTCGGACAAAAAAAAACACCGATTTTCACAAACACTCCTGCGAGATTCCGGCCTTGACGGCAAGCATGGCGGTGTTCGCCTGGCATTGTTGGCTTCCAAGTTGGATCTAGGGAGTTTGTAGCTGCTACATTCCAGCAAAGCCATGCAACCCCCCTGCATGCAAAAGAATGGTGTTGAACATCAAACTGAGGCAAAGGAGGAAGAACTAACATGGCTTCAAACCACAAGCTAATTAACAGGGAGACGCTACAGGTCTTTGGTCCAAACGCATGCAGGATTTCTTACCATGCCTCTATGCCAAAGCCCACGGTGAGCAAGGTGAAGGTGTAACAGAGATCGCAACCTGCAAGGTGAGGGGTGGTTGAGTTACTCGGCTCATCCTCTGAAATAGGGATTGAACACAACGCCTCAACCAGAAACCAAGTTTCGAACGCCCATAGCCTATCCGAGAATCTTGGGGTCCCTCCCCAGCCCCAATACCGCCACGGAACAGAGCCAAAGTGCTTGATCTCGTTTCATGCCTGCGGCCGGCCCGTGCCCGTGCTGCTGCTTGATCCGAACAGTCCTTTGTCACGGCGCCTGGATGAGCGACCAGCAACTGCTCCACCGAAGCATTGCAGGCGTCTACTGCAAGGTCCAGGTACTTCTGGGGAGTGACCCGTGGAAAGCTCACCCCAGGTGCAACAGGGGGATGCATAACTTAGGGATACTTGGGGATAACAGCTTCAAATATCAAGGAGGGATGACAAATGCATCCATATATAAAAAAATATATATATAATTATATATATACTTACATAATTTCTAGAGATATATTTCAAGCATCACCTATCAGATTTCTTACTGTACTCTCGGCTGTGAATGCTTCCACCAGTCACTGCAGCAAGCCCGAGGTCAAAGAAAACCGCAGTTTTGGGCAATCCAACCATCGCCGATAACCTACAACCGCACGATAATTATTCTTTGGCCACTTAAACCTTCAAAATACATGGTGTGTTTACAGATAGACCGACTATATACCTTCAGGCCATTTTGGGGTGAACCTCCTATACTCTGATAATTCCCTAGTGTAACTCCAATGTTTGTCATTTAATATAACTGATAGGTTAATAAAAACAATTGGTATCAACCTGATGTGTTTAGCTATCAATAGATCTTCCACAATATCAGTGATATAGCTATCCATTAGGAAGATCTATGGATTTTTTGAGGCAAATATCAAACAATTTGTACTGTAATTGGCCTCAAAAAAAATTATAGATCTTCCACGCCCTCGATGAAAAAAAGCGCCTCAGCCGACGTGGCATCTGAGGGCACTGCGCCAGCATCCTGCTGGGGATCATCGTCACACTTTTTTTTTGGAGTGGACATACTGATAGAAGAATGTCTCATAAATGAAAAATAAATAAATAAATAAATATATATTTATAAATTTAAACATATATATATATATATATCACAAATATGATAGATGATCATGACACATCTACAACCACCAGTCAGCCAGCAATCTCTTGTTCTGGACATATTTTTTGGATGTTATCGCACTGACAACGGAGGCACGAATCCGTGGCCATGGCTCAACGACGGGGGGCCATCAGGTATGTTTCATGCCATGGACCAATATCTTGGAGCTCGAGGACAATGGTAATTTCATGAAATTTCATGTAATCTCATACCCACCATACTATGGGAAATAATAAGGACTACCCATGTTTTTTTTAAAACCCGCCATTTGGGGAACCGACTCAGCAAACTGCTGGGATTCTAGCTGACATTGTGATGATGTACGAGTAGGTGGGTTCAAGTGGGGTTATCATATTTGGGATTATTTGGGCAATATTAATATATTTAACCGAGCTGAAATAAGCCGCCTTTTGGGGATGATTCCCCGTACGAACACCATCATTCCAGTGAGGTTGCGTTGCAGTGAGGTCGATCTGATTTTCCCAGATAGAAATAGATAGAATAGCTACAACTATGGGTTCCGATGGATTTTCAATGGATTTTCAATGGATTTTCAGCTCCATGAGATAGGACAATAACCTTTTTCACTGTCAGCCCAGTCCTCCAAGCCGAAGAAGTAGAAGGAACAGCCCACCGGCTGACTCCTGGGATGCAGGGCTTCTTCCAAACGACGGTATAATGGGAATAACCAACAACAAATGGAGAAGAATAAACCATCAGTATGTTTTCGTGATCAACCAGACCTAGATCTTATCTAATTCTTGTACCCATCTGGTAGGTCACATATCTTTATACCTGCCGAAATGAGTAGTATCTTACTGTTGTATCTCTCTGGCGATTGCTATCATGAAAGTTGAAGAAAACACAAACTCATTGTTCAGCATTACCTTTTCCATGAAAATTGCAAATTTGGGGTATTGAACCAACAGTTGATGAAGAGGATGAAGCATCACAATAGGGATGATTCCCAGGGTTGGCATGGGTTTACATTCTACTTCGTCACTTATCACTTATCAATCTTATCATGCCTGATAATCAGTGCAAAGAACCCCTTCTACACTATACTTAAACTGCTGGTTTCTTGATCCAGTCATACCATTACCAGGTTACCATGGATTGAGTACGTGATATGGCTAACAACACACCGTCTTAGGTTCCCTGCTGGTTGCTTAGGTTCATGCCTGGAGGAGCCAAGGGATTCCCAAGGGATGCCAATGATATTGCGCTTGTTTCAATGTCCCAGCCCAGCTATCAGAGAAATGTAGATAAATGATGATAAATGATAAATGTAGATAAATGGCAATGAATAAAGCTCTCTCTCTCTCTCTCCCTCCTTGACTGAACATATTGTCAACCTTCAGAAACGGAAGGACCCTGTTGACAACCATGAGCCACACTGGAGGGGCCTGGACCAGCCCAAACCCTGGCAAAGTCGCAACTGTCAGCCTCCGCGACCTCTGCAAGCAGTCAGAAGTGATGGGAAACTGTGACCTTCCATTGGAAGTAGAGCTGCAAATCCACCATCATTTGGCTTATTTAACAGAGTTTTAATGGTTCTTTAATGCTGGACATTTCATGAACTATAATGGGATATCACTTCACTAACCAACTATATTATATAATATGACATGTGGGTCTGTCTGAAACTGGGGGGTGTCCAAAAATTGCAATTTCCAATGTGAAGACAATGATAAACCAATTCAATTGAGGGTGCTGCGGCGCGGTGCCTTGTCCATATTCTGGCTCGAAACACAAACTATAGATTCTACTATAGATAAACCCACCCCTCAAACAACCAAGAAAATCCAACAAATAGCTTGAAAATCAAGACCTTCTTGGAGCAAGAAAACGAGTTTATCCCATCACATGCTGTCATGTCTGATCCATCTTCTTCCCTGTCGTCAGTTTGAAACAGCCATAAACCTGACGTCCATCCCAGTCCCTGCACTCAATCTTGACGTCAAGTGTCGGGATCATTGCAGTCAGCAGGTCGCAAGACCCTGCACAACAACGGCCATAAAGTCTATCCGCCCTGACACATTACAAGTTGATAAAAGGCAATCTTCAACACATTGAAAGCATCCAAGAAAAATGCGCTTGTACTCAGCATCATCAAGCAGTCCCGCGTTTTTCATCAGAGGTCGCCCATCGGAGCAATTATATTTCCGGGCGGAGAAACAAACCATTCAATCATGCAGCTTCGGTTTACCACACACAGGCACTGTATCGTCAGGTTTCGGGGGTGGTACCTGTCTTGTGGGTCGCTTGGGTTCATTTTGGATTGGCATCTATCTTCATCTGCATTGGGAAAAAGGGCTTGTTCCCTTGACAAAAATCAGGTTGCATTTTTTTGCCACAATTCACTGGATTGGTTTAAGGGGAAATATACAGGAAAGCCCTACATTTGATGAAAAAAACACATCCTGCATTTAAAAAAACATAGTTTCCTGTAGATTTTCCCTGAGCCCAATCTGATGAATGGCCTGCTGATGAGTTGCACACATTGCTGGGCATTGCCAGCGCCGCCAGCACCATGTCCTGGCTCAAAATGTTCTTGGGTTAGCCATCACAACATGGGGGATTTCATACTGTATCTAGTTGGTGGTTTCAACCCCTCTGAAAAATATTAGTCAGTTAGGATGATTATTCCCAATATATGGAAGGTCATAAAAGCCATGTTCCAAACCACCAACCAGGTATTATAATGTAGGGTAAACTGGTAACGTAGATCTGGAAAACCCATAGTTGCATATGGTTGCCGTTGCGGAAGATGATAACTGGTGACGTTTTCCACGTCTATGGTAGTTTACAGAAGGATAACCATCCTTTTTAATGGGGATATCATGAAATCGCCACCAAAAAATATTTATTGTTAGGGGGAAGGAATTCAGATCTGGCTTCACGCTATTGCTCATCGACTCTGCTTGATTAGGCGTTGTCTCCAAATAGTGATGATCTGCCAAAATGGAACCGATCCAATTGAAGGAAGCAGGGGTGAATCAATCATGGATTACTGTAATATGAATATGGGTCTGACTAAAAATCGTGGATACCCCCAAATGGCAAGTGCAAAAGGGAACAGAACCTCCTGGGGGTGCTCATTTTGAAACGGACCCACACACAGATAAAGAGAGAGAGAGAGAGATATATATATATATACAACATTATCAACAAAAAAAAACAAAAAAACACTACAGCCAAGCAAATAAACAGGAAATACATGACAACACTTCAGCCAAACAAGAAGCAAACAGCATTTGAAGAGCAAACCTGATGTGTCTGCAAATAAGGCAGCCCAGAATTCCACGGTTCATCATATTGTTCTACCAGTAGTTAATGCTGCCGACTTCAATTGCGGTGTCCCCCATTGAATCGCAAATCTTAGATTCTTAGATCCTCTGCCCACGGGCAAACAACCATGTTTTGTTGTTCTGTTGCTGCTTGGTATACATCCCCAGTCGTGGTAGTTGTGGCACTCACAATTTATGGACCTCTGCAATGACCGCCATTGACTGCCCCTGCGGTGGCACCATTTGAAAGATTATTACGTACTACAGTGCTTACCCAAGATTTGCATAGATTTGGCTAGATTGGCTAGATCCCCACTTTTCTCGGTCACCACCACTGTCTCCAGTTATCTCTTTCCAGAATGAAGCCTTCATCCTGTGGAAGGTCCGCAGACCTGCCATCACGGATTTGGAAGGGAACAATCGCAGGAATACCTTATGTTTAGCTGTAAATATCTGGAAATAAACCACGGTTTCAGATGGTAAATTAATCATAATTAATCATGGTTTCAAATGATTTCTGGTAGATTTTCCCTCAAAGCAACCCTTGATGCAGAATGATTGAGCAAAACCATGATTCGGAGGATGATGGTTAAGATTTGACACCTCCAGACAACATGATCGAAAAATGGTTCAAGAAACTGTGTCATGATTTTCATGATGGCTTTATTACTGGAAATGGCGATTTTTAGTGGGCTTCAAGTGAAAGCAGAGGGTATCATGTACCCATCTTTCATCATTTTTCGCAACCTCTGCAAGCGATCTGACATTTGAGACTGGGCTTAGGACCAGGGAAAACATGGATTTCGCGGCAGGAGATCGGAGGCATTAACTTCCTGCACGCAGGGACAGGTTAAAACTGATGACATGGGTCTGGCTCAAAAAAAACGCACCCCTAAACATGGATGGCTTGACCTTGATAAAATAAATGACCAAGTTTGTGGACCTGTTGCTGATGCATTTATGAACCATACTGACATGATCGCACGTTCAAAAAGGGCTTGTGCCACCCGTAGAAGGCTACTGTTGATGAACAAATTGTGTCTAAGTACGATGTTCGTGGATAGGTGCTGTGCAAATGAACCAATGAACATCAATGTGAAGTTTCAATGTCTTTTCGGCTGAGCTTCATGGGCATTGATGCTGCCAAAAACAATTCGACCATGCGTCTGAGATCACAGCTCCAATTCAACAAAATATGATCAAACGCTGCAAAGAAGTTCAAATCCTTCCACATCCAACACCCCAACCCAATAAATCATCCATTGTAAGCCATCCATCAGTTCCCCTCCAGCAGCTCCAGGGATGACATCCATTCTAGCGGCTAGGCCTTGCTACATTATATCCAACTACATCCCCACAAAATATCATAGAATCAGATTATATGTAGGATATTTTATCCCATGAATATCCTATTAATGTGATATTCCATATATTCCATTAGTTAGCCATCTTTGATATCCTTACCAAGCAGGCCACCTTCATGATCTTCTGTCGCGCCGCCACGAGGCCATAGCCCAAATAGCTGTGCTCATAGATCTGGACCATGCGCTCCGAACCCGGCAAGGGCAATCTGCCAGCGAATCGTGGAGCTGGGCTCCAAAATGCAATGTTTTGAATCTTCGGAAGCCATCATGTCTTGGCATATTAGGTGTATTCGTCGTGTAGTGAGAATATATATATATATTTATTAATATAGAGTGGCCTTCCCATCTACAAGGCAGGAATTAAGGTCCTCAACGGTCCTCAAACCACTAATCCAAAGGTTACCCGGCGAGTAGCAGCCTACTGTATCTGTTCAATTTAGGACCCGCTGTAGGCACCCGCATCACTTAGGGCAACACCAAACGCATCACTTCAGGCAACATCCAGAAATCACACACTCCTCACACTTTGGACGCTCACTTTGGGCAACACGGATTTCATCACTTTGGGCAACACGGCAAACATCGTTCTTATCATCATTGCTTGACTCAGCCATTTAGGTTTTGGTTCGGGGGGAGCGGTCATTCTACTTACACCATTACTTGACTCGGCCATTTAGGGTTTGGTTCGGGGGGGAGGGGTCATTCTACTTACACCATTACTTGACTCAGCCATTTAGGGTTTGTTTGGGGGGGAGGGGTCATTCTACTTACATCATTACTTGACTCAGCCATTTAGGGTTTGGTTGGGGGGGAGGGGTCATTCTACTTAGATCATTACTTGACTCAGCCATTTAGGGTTTGTTTGGGGGGGAGGGGTCATTCTACTTACATCATTACTTGACTCAGCCATTTAGGGTTTGGTTGGGGGGGGTCAGGGGTCATTCGACTTACATCATTACTTGACTCAGCCATTTAGGGTTTGGTTGGGGGGGAGGGGTCATTCTACTTACATCATTCCTTGACTCAGGCATTTAGGGTTTGTTTGGAGGGGAGGGGTCATTCTACTTACATCATTACTTGACTCAGCCATTTAGGTTTTGGTTGGGGGGGATCATTCTACTTACATCATTACTTGACTCAGCCATTTAGGGTTTGTTTGGGGGGGAGGGGTCATTCTACTTACATCATTACTTGACTCAGCCATTTAGGGTTTGTTTGGGGGGGAGGGGTCATTCTACTTACATCATTCCTTGACTCAGCCATTTAGGGTTTGGTTTGGGGGGGAAGGAATAATTCTACTTGGATCATTACTTGACTCAGCCATTTAGGGTTTGGTTCGGGGGGGAGGGGTCATTCTACTTACACCATTACTTGACTCGGCCATTTAGGGTTTGGTTCGGGGGGGAGGGGTCATTCTACTTACACCATTACTTGACTCAGCCATTTAGGGTTTGGTTCGGGGGGGAGGGGTCATTCTACTTACATCATTACTTGACTCAGCCATTTAGGGTTTGGTTCGGGGGGAGGGGCATTCTACTTAGATCATTACTTGACTCAGCCATTTAGGGTTTGGTTGGGGGGGAGGGGTCATTCTACTTACATCATTACTTGACTCAGCCATTTAGGGTTTGGTTGGGAGGGAGGGGTCATTCTACTTAGATCATTACTTGACTCAGCCATTTGGGGTTTGGTTCGGGGGAGAGGGATCATTCTACTTACATCATTACTTGACTCAACAATTTAGGGTTTGGTTGGGGGGGAGGGGTCATTCTACTTACATCATTCCTTGACTCAGCCATTTAGGGTTTGTTTGGGGGGGAGGGGTCATTCTACTTACATCATTCCCTGACTCAGCCATTTAGGGTTTGTTTGGGGGGGGGAGGGGTCATTCTACTTACATCATTACATGACTCAGCCATTTAGGGTTTGGTTGGGGGCGAAGGAATAATTCTACTTGGATCATTACTTGACTCAGCCATTTAGGGTTTGGCTGGGGGGAGGGGTCACTCTACTTACATCATTACTTGGCTCAGCCATTTAGGGTTTGGTTGGGGGGGAGGGATCATTCTACATACATCATTACTTGACTCAGCCATTTAGGGTTTGGTTGGGGGAGGGGCCATTCTACTTACATCATTACTTGACTCAGCCATTTAGGGTTTGGTTGGGGGGAGGGGTCATTCTACTTACATCATTACTTGACTCAGCCATTTGGGGTTTGGTTGGGGGGGAGGGGTCATTCTACTTACATCATTCCTTGACTCAGCCATTACTTGACTCCATCATTACACCATGAGCCGATCCTCTCTTGCACCTGCACACCAACATGATCTCACGCTATCACATCTTCTCCTGACGCTATCATCACCATGAACATGAGGAAGATGAAGATGAATACTACTCGGAAGAAGAAGCTGCTTATAACAAGGATGATCATGAAGAAGAAGAAGATGATGATCATGATGATGATGATGATGATGATCATGATGATCATGATGATCATGATGATGATGGTGATGCTCACTTGGTGGTCAACATGATGGTCAACCATGGGTGGACAACATGATGATGGGGTACCCGCCCTCCGACCCCTCATGATGGGTAACATGATGATGATAATGATGATGATTGAATATGTCTATTCTGGACGACGACGGTGATGGTGATGATGATGATGATGATGGTGGTGATGGTGATGATGATGATGATGGTGATGATGATGGTGATCATGGTGATGGTGATGATGATGATGGTGATGATGATGATGATTATGATGATGATGATGATGATTATGATGATGATGTTGAGGTTTCCCGAAGCGATGCATGAGGCGTAGCCCGAAGCGATGCACCCGACGTATCCCGAAGCGATGCCTATGCCCCGCTGTACCCGGGTTTTATCAAAGGATGATGGGATTCCAGGTTTCAAAACGGAATAGGCCACAATTGCTTCAATATTCTTGGGCACACAAATATGTTGGATTTGGAACTGATTGGATAATTGATAATTGTCAGTGCTTGTGGTGGATTCAGCCCGGAATTTAGCTCATCAGTTCTTCTTTTTGGGAGCCAAAAAAAAGCACTGATGCAGGACTTCTTCCATCACCTGACTCGGCTGTTCTCCGGGGACCCCCCACGCACGGATGAAGGACTTCTGCCAGTCAGTGGTTTCAATGCCATCATCCAAGGCATAGGCAATCCTGGGGCGGGACGCGAAGATCCAAAGGATCCAATGGTGATAGATTTTTGACCCATTGGATGCAACCCTGGACCGATGCACACAGTCCAAGAATACAGAGATAATTGCGCGTAGGTATGTGTGTGTGTGTGTGTATATGTTTTATATGCAGATGTGATAGAGATTGATAGCGAATATGGGGTACTTGGTCATTGCGCTATCTACAAGTACGTCTAGCACGCTCACCAGTGCATGGCAATCTTCAAGATTGTGCTTTGTCTGAATTATGTTGGTCAATTGAATTCACATCCCTCCAGCTTTTCCGCGAGAATCCCCTGATATAAATTTGCTCGACCTATATTTAAAAACCAATGGTAGAGGTTCAACTGCGCAAGCAGGTTTTCGAGCAGCGCTGTTGTTTGGAAACCTTTCGGCCCCATCCGGAAATTGGACCTCTGTTGCTTCAAAACAGCGTGAAGGAAACCCATTGATCAGTTGCTTCGAAAGATTGATCGTGCACAAAATGCTGGAGCAATCTCGGGCCTAGTTTCCCAGACACTGCATCATGCTGAAGAACTCTTGTACAAAAAATGGCTGATGAGTCCATTCCATCCTGGAAATATGACAAACAACTGGAATCATCGTCCACAGTTTATCCCTTTATTCCCACATCTTTGAGTGGTAGAATGTCATGACAATGAACAGTTGACATCTTTTTTTGGCTAGAATATCATCAAAACTTGACAAAGTGTTTTTTTGGGCCAGTTTGTGTTTTGGATCTTCCATTCATTTGAACAAAAGAATCCAAAGACCACCAAGTTTCAAATCCCCAAGGCTGCCAGGGCTCTGGGTTGATGCCCCGCCTAGGTCCAGAACCACTACCTCAACGACGGTCAGATCTTGGAAGTGTGTGGAAGGGGCCGTGATAACAAGTACCTCACTTGGAAGAATACCCTATATATGTGATATGGTTCATACATGTCATACATGTATATGGTCAATTCCCAACAACATATTCTGGCTGAATTATGATATTTCACCAGCATGAAAATCGTTGAAATAAGGCCATTGGAGATGATTCCCCCAATGGAAGCCACCGCCTTTTTCGTGACTTCACAGGTCGCCCAAGCCCCTGGTTTGCAGGTCCTCAAAGTCTGGTCCAAGGGGCTGTGCTTTGATTCGTTTGGAGTCTACCCAGCAGGCTGTTGACGGCCTCATGAACCCCGTGGGATCTGCAAGAAATGGTGTTTTTGCTTGGCCATGAGAAAGTCATTGGTTTGTTATCAACAGTGTGTTGTGGCATGTTGTGACTTCAGGCCGCCTTATGAATATATGGTTCGTAGGAGATGCTCTTTCAAAGAATGTCCGCATGTCAGTGTTACACTATGTTCCACATTCAACACAGTCAAAACTTAACCCAGTGAGCAGCCAAATGAAGTTTGCAGCCAGAAGAACAAAGTTTATCACTGTTTGGATTTATGTTTCATACCAAATCGAGCAAGCACCAAAGCCGCAGCGAGCGGAGTCTCGCTGACATGCTGCAATCCACTGAAGCAATCCTTCATCATCACCTGTCATCACCTGACACGTTGGTGAAAACAGCCCTGTCAGCTGCCACTACAACGGAATTCCCAGAGCCTCCACGCCAGCATCCCTGAAACCATAGTCCGCCACAATGAGGCGGATCTTCTTCCTATGGTGGCGGCAAACAAACGACGTAACATGTGGCTTGGTTGATTTCACCCAAATTCACCAAGGTTGGGACTCCGGAACCCACAGCATGCCCCATATCGGTCTTACCCATTTGGGTGGGTTCTTCTTCCCCAACCTCCCGGATAGCACCCGTTAGGAGCGCATTGGCAACCCGGCAGCAAAGCTTCCGCACGCTCACGTCCCAGGAGCCGGAAACCTGGCGAAGGGACCGAAGGGATGAGACGGCCATTGATTCAACAAGGATGTGCTTGGGACACAAAGCGATTGGAAATTTCTGGTGAGCTTGGGAAACCTTGATTCACCACTTTTCGGAAAATGAAGAAACATCATTGAAACAGAGTCAACATGATTGAAGCTATTTTCCACAAATGATGAAACATGATGAAACCCATGTGGGAAAGCTTGGAAAGAAAAGGCCAAGACGCAATCGCCACCACCCATGGGGTGTTGCCAACGAGTTGATTGTAGGATTCTAGCCAGTAGCCCCTCCAGGAAGACAATAAGAAGATATTGAAAAAACAATGGTCTCCCAATTCGCAATTCGATCCCATTGACGGTGGATTTTATGTGGATTTATCATGTTTCATCTGAAGAGTAGTCGTGGGTGAAAACATCCCGGATGTCATTCCTGTTAAATGAGCACCTGCAGTAGCACGAAGCGCCAATGGAGTTGATGCACGTGATTCTGCGGGTACCTCTGCAGGTTCTGGGAAAGAGCAGGCAGGGTAACTACCATGGGGAAGGATCTTGAGGTGGTGGACGCGAAAATAATCCAAACTCATATGTTTTATACGTGTGTAACATTGGTTATTTTTTCAAAGGGTAAGCAAAGATAAAGAGTGATTTTGGGAAAAAAACAGCCATAAGTAAATAATTCATTAGTAGTACTCATGTCCAAACATGTCTAATTATCAGAATCACAATCTCAGCAAGTGGATATGTCATGAGTCATGATAAACCCACACACACATGACGTATATATATATATATTTAATATTCTATTATACCCTATATCCCTACCGAACGTATGTCCATGCATGTCTGAAGATTGCCGCCAGTAGCTACGAGTACGGGGCAGCGTGGGCCAGCATTTAGGAAAGGACCAGAGGTTGTGCCGCAAGTTGTTCCTAGGCAAATACACATTTGATGAGATTTAATGAGATTTAATGGGAGTACAAATGGAATATCAATGGGAAATAAGACTAGCCAACTGTAATTGAATATTGTCGGCGTGTCAAATGGCAAGTGTAAGATGAAAAATGATGAAAATGATGACAGTACCATATTGTCAGACACATCCACCTTTTGAAGAGGCAACCGTTGCATCCTTCAGCAACCCACCGGCCGTTAGGGCACCCTTTGGACTACATTCTCCATCAAAGGAGTTAGCAAAGTTGACCTCGGTGATGTCTCCATCAAGTCTCTGAACCATTTGAGTCAGGCCCATCACCAAGAAAACCTTCACCACATCACAACTATCATCTATTGAAAATGACCATTTGTAATGGATTTACCCATTGAAAATGGTGATGTTCCATAGTTATGTTAGTTTACCAGAGGGTAACCACCAAATCTCACCAAATGAGCCACATGCATACAGAAAAAAACGGACCTGGAGTCGGACTCCACAGCATTCACGCCGTGTCTCAGTGCAACGCAAGCATTCCGCATCAGCACAGCTGCTGAGCCCTGGTTTCGTCGCGGAAATCCTCACTTCTGGAACTGATCTGCAACGAAACCAGGTGTGCCCAGGATTGTTTGGGGGAAAATAAAAAATCCACAGATATACGGGTTAGTTGTGGTTGAATAAAAAAAACAAGGAGGATATATTTTCAAATGAATTAGGGCCAATCACTCTATGTGCTATTATCCACTATATGGGTTTGTCTGGAAAGAGGGTAATTAGCCCCAAATCTATTGATTCCTCATAGATCTCCCCTACTGAAAATCTGGAAAGACTGCATTCCTCCATTGTTTGGCTACAATCTCTAACAGGCCCTGGCTGGCAACCATACTTACAGTCACAGTATGTGAAAGTCATCGTAGTACCTGCCTTTCCGGGATGCTTCTGGCTGATGGCCCTATGTGTATATATAAATAAATATATATATATAACTATAATTGTATGCATATACATATATATAATATTATATATATAGCAATTATTAACATGATATCTATACTTTGAAGCATATACATGGACAATATCTTAGATGCCCTTCATTTCTTAAAGTTGGGTAGTGATTATTGCCAATATATTGCCCAAGGTTAGATTGGAGAATTAAATGCCCAACCAAGCTCTACCTACCCAGTTCATGGGATTGTGTTTCCCAGTTTCCCGCTTCAATTTTCAGATATTGTTTAAGATAGATCAATCCACTGACCTTGATTTTCCGTTGCAATTGGTCACATCCCATTCGAGCATCAGTATGTCAGTATGTCAGCATGTCAGCATGTCAGTATGTATGTATGTATGTAAGTAATATGCAACATATAATAATAGTAATGCATGATATTATCTAAAAACATGTTTATATTTTTGTTATCTATCTATCTATTTATCTTTTATTGTATACTCCATGATATCCTAACAATGCCTGGTTTGAAGCCTGGCTGTTTGGGGCCACACTCCTTGGCCGGTTCGCATCAAGGTCGCGACAGACTTGTCCTGCCGTTGTTAGCATTTTTGATGGGGGAACTTGATGATAAATCATGATAAAACATGATAAAACCATGATATAACTATTATATTATATCATAGTTTCCGATGTTTGGGGTATAAGGTATAAGTTTTGTTGGACAATCCTGTGGGAACTGCGCAGAACACTGCTAGGTTGGGTCATACAGATGGGGGCAATTCCTCATTACCTTTTACAACAGTGTTTTTTTTTCAATCCCTGCCACTACCACGTGAATATGAAGGATGCTGTTTGCTGTAAGAGAAAACGATCTATTGCACCAAAGTTTTCTTTGACTGCCACCGGGACATTCCTCAGCAAACTAGCTGGCATCGCATCTCCGAAACTGAACCGCAATGTTTGCACCAGCACCGGGCGGGGCCCCGCCTTTGGAGAAACAATATGTGTGCACTTTGGTTCCGGTGCTACCTGCAGCAGTGATACGACCGGTGCAGGATTTTGCTACCGATATAGCCGATATAGGATCCAACAAATGCCGTGTAACAGTTAGTCTGCACGACATGGACACCTCTGAAACAACTTCTTTTCGTGCCTGCCAGGTCTAATGTGGGTCTATAACATCTGTGCGTGTCTCCTGACACTAGCGGAGATATTCCAGAACATGCTACATGTGCTCATGTTTGTCTATTGTAGCATGTTGCATGCTTGACTTCGCTGATGATTTTCCCTGCACCTGAGCTCCTTGGCTCATCATGTCCCAAGGCCCATGGTGCCTGCATCGATCACCACAACAAATGGCGGTGCCGAGACAGGCCCCCGGAGACCGTGGCCACCGCCGTGGCGCGGAAATGATGGCGAGAGCCTCCAGCGCTGGGTCAACCCCTCCGTGGGGGTCCCTGCATCCTCCTGTCAACCCTGGTCCCTGGGCACACGTAAACGCAGGAGCCGAGGAAAATGCAGAGGCCCATGATCAAAATGCAGACCTGGCCGGTACCAATTCATCCATTCACATCCATTCACATCATGTATCCGAAAAATCCTAGTCAGGTGGGGTTCCAAAAGTGATAAATGTCTTCAACAAAAAAATCAGCACTTTGTGGCTGCACTGGCTAGAAATTTATACTGTATCCTTTTTAACGGGATCTTCACTTGCAAGGTGAAACAGGATATATCCCCTCAAAATGAAGAGCCAATCCTGACCTTCACCAACAAAAATGGAACCTAGAGCAACAATCTGTTGGGATTTGAAATCACCAACAAATCTGTCAAGCGAGTACACAACCTGCTTCAAACCCAAACTTTGAATGGATAACCACCATTCGGACATACCAATAGAACCACCAGTTTGAACATATTCGCATTGCAATTTACAATGGGTACCCATTGTTTTTTTACCACCCATCCTTCGGCACCTTTTGCGCCCGCCGCGGTGTCGAAGGAACTGCCGTGGCTTTCCAAGCCACGGTGGCCGCGCTGGCCACTGAGTGGTGTGGGGAACGGCTAGTCTTGCTCTCCTCTGCGGGGACCCCAGGTTGATGGGACAATTTACTGGAATCCCCCACTATTTGGTGGTAAAAACCATGATACACCCATGGTTTCGGCTTAAGACTTTCGCTTTAACCAATTTCATTGAAGGGAACCTGCCATGTTTTCGTTGATTTTAGGTTGCAGTCCAAAATGCATGGTAAAATCTGTAAGGGAATTCCTCATCCAATTCTATCCAATTCTGGGATTGTCGGGAATTGTTGACATTTCTTCTAAAGATTGCCAAAGTATGACTCTATTTGTTTTCAACACCTAAGACATGTTGAAGGCTGACAACCGTTACTCAAGTATTCAAGCTATTTCTTGGCTTCAACGCACAGTCCTGCCTGAGCAAAAGCTCAAAAGCAGGTGGGCATTAAAGAATCCTCCGCCAAGATCGATTAAGTGGAAATTGATGGGTTTGTCTGAAATGATGCCCCCAAATGACGATTTTAATAGGGACAATCGGATAATTCTAATTCTTGGAATTGTAACTATGTGTTACATTTTTTTCGGCCAAACCCTTTTGGTTTTCCTCCAGGTTTCATCCAAAGGCCTGCGCCCAGCCGCCCCCAAGCGCTTCCTTCGAGTAGGCATCGTCCAAAGGCGACGGCACCTCCTCGCCGAGTTCGATCCAAGCCTGGTATTTTTTGGTCCATGGAAAGGATGGAAGACCTATGAAGACCTGTTCCAAATATGTCAAAACTATAAAACTGATGCTTTTTTTGCAATTTTAATACTCTTTTCCATCATTTTACATAGCTGTGCACACTTACCAAAGGGTCCGATACTTTTTGTGTCACCTCGGTGGTGAATATAGACCCAGCGAGCCTGGCCTGCTTCCGCATCCATCACACCCGGCCATGCCGTGGAAGTCTCCGCTGTTTGCGGAGCTGCTGTGTCGCTGTTGGACCCGTCAATGGATGGCTTTGGGATGGAGCTGATCCGGTTTCCTCTGAATGCTATGGGATGGAGCTGATCACTTTCAGTGTGCTGCTCAGGTTTCAAGGGAGTTGGTCCCGACCAATGGCGGTAATGCAACTCAACTTGGTCGACCAATATCCAGACGCCAAGAGTGATGGGCTGGGCTTTCAAACCGAGATGGCACTGGAAATCGCCCTTGGACAACTACTGTGAGCATCATCAACACCCATTACAAAAGGGATATTCTAAAATACGTCTGCCAAATACTGCCACAGGTGGAACATCCAAAACTGCCAGACACACATTTATAAGAAACAGTTTTTCATCAACTCGGTTCAAGTTTCATGCAAACAACCAAAAAAAGACCATGTTGTCCCTCTCCACCAGCCTCGTCATGGCCTTAGGAGCCAGGCTTCTAGCGCAGATTTTCCCCAGGCTTCCCTTGACAAAAAAAAACGTGGAACAAAAACCCAGGAGTCTGTGTCAATTTTGGTCAATGGTCCCAACATATTCCCAACATCTTACATCCAACGGCGGGCTGCCCCTGCTGCCACCGATGGCCCAACGGCCCTCCTGGGCCCTTGGCGCGCCATAGTGGCATGGCTCCAGGCCAAGTTCGCGAGGTCCACCGTGCTCATCTCAGCCTACGGAAGGGGCTTGGAATTGGGGTTCTTTCTGGCCATGCACATCTGATTACATATATCATGACATATATGGCATCTATGGCATGTATATATATATATTATAAATTATATTATTATATTATATATATATATGCATGGATATAGATGGCATATATATATATATGTATGTATGTATGTATATATGGATTGTTTTTTTGATGTAACATCTTGCTCTAGGTCGTTTGTATAATGTGCCGAGATTGAACCTAAACATACCTAAACTATGTTTGCATTTGCGCCGCCAGAAATAACGCCAAACATGATTCATCTCCATACTGGTCCATACTGATGTATATATATATATATATGCATATGGCAGCTATCCGAATTCATGGGGTTTGTCAGATGCCCCAACTTACGACTCGAGTTAGACGATCTCAGCGAAGTTTCACGTGTAAAGCCTTCCTGGTGGCTTGACATCTGCCAGCCATTTCTGTTTCTTGCTCAGAAATTGATATGACAGGTGTTCTTCAAGCTTTGGGCCCTGCCAATTACACTTTGGCTTATGACACATAACCATCATAGGTATCATAAGTATAGTATCCAGCATCTGGCTTTCAATGGCTTCCCAACGCCTCCGCTTCAAACAGCTTCAACCCGACTCCCCGGAGCGGGCCATCAGCTCCATGGACGTTGCGGAAAGGGCTTGGACCAGCGCATCATCTGCCGAGGATTCGACTGGGATTCGGTGAGTCTGTCGGACATGTCAGTGGAACATCCAGCGGAGAATTCCAGAATATCCGGAAATTCTTGGACTGTAAAAGAAGTTTCCGGGGGCATTGGACCCTGAAGTATACAAATGCAATATATGTACAGTACTTCTACTGCAGTAATGTATAGTTGTTCACCTTAAAAGCGGCCAATCCATCACAATTCTATCAGCATACGATCACTTCCAGACTCCAGCATGGTGCAGTGGATACCATCGTGGCACCTTCGTAGGACAGCTTTGCTACTGCCCAGAGCATGTTGACCTGGATCCGTCAAAGGCTCAGAGTGACTTGGCATATCATGACTATTGCAATATATATATATGATGATGATGATGATGATGATGGTGATGATGATGATGATGATGATGTCTGTATGTACAGCGTGCCGACTGCCAAAAATTAACGACCCCTTTCCAACAGTATCATCCACACAGAGTAATTAACAAAGAAACCAACAACCTCCTCTGTTTGATGCCCTGCTTCCACCGAAAGAGCAAACTAATTAGCTGATAACTCAGGACTCTGCCAGCCCCTGTGTGCCAAACTCCTTCAACATGACCAAAGAGGCCTCAGGTTGCCCACAAACAAATCCCACACGGTGAAAGAACTCTATTGGAAACATTGTTTTCAACTGACTGATGTTCGCAACTTGTTGGTCTCCCAGAACAAGTTGTTCCGACTTGGAGGACATCAAAAGCATTCGAACGCCACCTCTGCCGTTGCCATGGTGACGACCAGTAACCCTGAAATCATCCAAGGTTGCAGCGCTGCTCAGAGTCTTCATGACCTCGGGCCAGGCATAACCTTGAAACAATGAACAAATAAGGTGTAAATAGCGATGCCCTGCACACACGCCAAACAAAAACATGGCACTATTATATAAATCAAATATGAATAGCGCTAATTAATTAATTAATTAATTAATTACTATATATATATACATACCTTCTCCTGAAGAAACCCACAAGAAACCCTTGGAAAATGTCACCAGCGTCGACAAGTCGTCCAAGTCCCTCGCTGGGGCATCGTAGATCTCCAGCTTGGCAAAAGCCCAGGCGCTGTTTGTCACCTCCCAGGCACAACTTGGCGAACGTAAACCCACTAGACTTGGGACCCTCTTCCAAGATACGGTTTTGTGGCATATTTATATATATATATATGCGAAAAAAAATCTGGAATTATGATGTGCTAAAGCACACAAGATAATATATGATAAGATGCATACACACATATAGTATATATATATTATATTTATATTTGGTTCGAGGATGTTTGAGGTATGTTTCAGTCCGCAACTGAATGCAGTAAACCCAGTGATGAATGCGGCTTTGCCAGTAATAAATGCAGGAATGCAACATATGGCCTACCAACCATTCGCAATGGCTTGCCAGAAATCGGTAGTATTAATTAATTATAAACCATACATAACCATACCCACAACTGGCCGCAACAACAATAAACACGTCCCTTGCCATTCGACACAACCAATGCATTTGCGGATGCAGTAGGCCCACCAAATGGGCAAGCCAATGGCCCCAACACCAATCAAAAAAAAAACAGCTCGATCGGCTGATTCCTACAGGTCCTGCATGTTGGGATTGCGTTAAGATAGGGCACCCCAAAATGTTCATGATTTATGGCCACATTTCCTAGTAAAATGGCCATTCATATAGGGCCATTTTGGGATTGGGCGACTTCATCTTGGGGCCGAGGCACGTGTTGCGAGGTGAAGGATGCTATGCTCTTGCAGGACTGGAGCCTGGAAGACCGGTTGACCGGTTGGAGGACGAGTAACCACCCAATTTACGAGAGGGGGATCATTGATCATTGATCATTTGGTCCATTTAGAATAAGCAAATTGGAAGTGTTTTCACCGTAGTACCTAGTAACTAGTAAGCCCACTGTAAGCGGGCATGTCCCTAGTTCATCCTAATTCTATACACATTACCCTGTGGTTCTTTAGCGTGGTTCTTTAGCATAGCTTTGTTAAATCACAATTGTTATATATGTTTATAGGTAAATCATCAACATTTTATCATCTATGAATGGGCCATCTATACCATAACTATATTGACTATTGTTAAATACCCCAAGGCCCAAGGTTAAAACAACTATAGCAAGAGATTGCTCAACTGAGGCCAGCGCCCAATTGCAGTCATCAAGGGTTCATCACGCCAAAGGAGCGCAGCAAACGCCCAGGCGCTATTCGCAAGGCCTTAAATCACAAGGTGCGAGTGGTACCAGTGCACCTGTCTGCATCAGCTGAAACAAAGAGAGCATGACAGATCCACATGATTCACATGATCTACACACTACATATATATATATATGTATGTATATAGATTGGTTGGTGCACCAAGTATGTTCCTCCTGGTTTTGTCATGTCTTGTCACCTTGTATTTCTTGGAAATGATTTCATCAATTATCAATTGCAGCAAGATCTTTGTTAGGACCTCGGCCTCGCAACCGGTATCTTGCAACAAGGAGGCCTTTCTCCCTATCGAGTTGGTGGCTTAGATCAGATGTACTCCAAAAAATGCTGCCAACTCTTTATTCTTAGTTCTAAATCATCTTTGGAAGAGGGAGCCATGATGACAACTTATCTTGGGAACTACTTCTACTTTGAAACCATCAAATACATTCAAATACCATCAGCCAGCCATAGCCAGCCATGTCTTGACCATCTGTGCCTTGCCGGTCGGCATGCTGGGCAGATCTCAAAGACGCATCTGAAATGCCTGCGATGCTGAGATTCATCAACAGCATGATGAAAGGTGCTGCATGCATGCTTGACTTCTTACAGTATCTTACAGTACTCCCTATGAGCACATGAGAGATGCAGATCCAAATGGATAGCATGGTTGGGTGCATGCAGGATCAGCAGTCGGTGACTTGCTGAACCACATCAGGCAAGACAACTGCCAGCCCACTATGCAAAGTTCACCTCGAACATCTCTCAGCGTATGAATGAAATTCTACAACCGGAGTTCTTCGGCTATCTTCTACAAAATGGATCAAGAGATATCAAGATGGAACCCTCTAGTAATCGAAACTGGCAATCCCCAGTTGTAGATTATGCTCCTCTTGAAAGAGTTTATTATCTGTTGCAGTAGCTGATTACCAGGGGGCAAATACAGAATTCTGGAACCCCCGTCTGATTGTCCTGCATTGCCCTCCCAATTTGAGACATCCCAGCTTTGCAACAGCGGCGGGTCATTGAAGCTCAGCTTTGCCAACGCCCAAACCAAGTTGGACCTCAGACAAAACGCAAACCAAATGCCATACTGGCCATACTAAGGAGGGTGTAGCATGTTGTTTGCTTCCCTAAAGGCAATGTACGCCGCAAAAAACGGTGCATCTGTGCATCTGGCAGGTGCCGTGGGAGAAACTCCATCATCCTGTCGCAGGTGGTATGGTCCATTCCATGCGAATCCTACTGATTGAGTAATTGATGACCATCTGCTACGGGCAAAAATGACCTAAGCATACCTAAGGATCCTAAGTTTCACTGTGGAAGATATATTTGCCCGGCTTTCATGAATTTCTAAACGATCCTAATAGATGCTTGGGTCTCTTGATGCCAGCAGGATTGATCTCTTCTGGTTGGTGAGTTCCAGTCAACCCATCCAAAATTCGACCGTTTCCGTTTTGTCATCCATGGTTTTGGGGATCCTGGGATATCTGGAATCCCCCAAGTTAAGAAGCCCCCATTGAACAGCACCAACCGCTCAACTGCTCCTTGGCAAACTTGCATCAGCAATGATCTTCAGCACAGGCTCCTTTCGAAGCCCTGAGCAGACGACAAGTCACGAGGCTGAGGACTCTAGACTTGATCGGGGTTTGGTTATCCAGACTTTTATGGGTTGGAAAGGCAAACTACAGCAGAAAACCGACTGCCAATGACGAATCATGTCACACAGCTCCAACCTTGAGAAGCCACATCTTCAGGCCGAAGTGGCTCCAAGGGGTGTTGGGCTGAAAGACGTTGGAACTAGCAAGTTGGCAATAGCCCCCTGATCCAACAAGAGAGTACCCAGCCTAAGGTTGCAAAAGACCACGCCACCTGCCAATAAAGGCGTGCAACAACATGTAGTCAGGAAAGTTTTGGCTAACACCATGTACTTCCCTGCTGGCACACTAATGGTGACAGATATTTACCGTTACAAATAAAATACATTATATTGGCACATATTTGCACACACCAAGATAGTCATCATCGTAAGACAATCACGGGGTGTCGATGCAGGGATACCGTAAGCGTTTCCAACTCGTATCATCTCGTATCGTCCACGTTAACGGGTGTTAAAGGTAAATTCCTGATAGCCCTGCAGCTCCGTGAGCATGGAGGTACCTGAAAATTGCAATCCCAATGCTAAAATATGGATATGGAAACATGATAATCATCAAATACATGAAGATTAACCATCGCATTTCCATCATTGCCATATTTGATGGTTAAACATTATGATTAACCATCAAATTTTCATGTACAGTAATCCAGCCATCGCGGCAACAGTGTCGGCGCCACACTCGCCAGGTGTTGGGCTGCTGCTTCGGGCAATCGTCCGGGAAGTTCTTTGACAACCTGAAACGTCGGAAATCACGGTGCCATGCTTGCTCTAAAAATCATGTCTTCATCAGGTGGTCCAACTCCAGCCCCCCCAAACAAAACAAGATTGGGATCATCATAGCTTTCTTAGCAAATCAGAGTCAATATATGTCTGGGGAACATTGATTTCAAAGACGCCACCTCAATATCATGAAACCCGAGGATCCCATCTCTCTCTCTCTCTACACACACAAAGGCGTGACCATTGCACTGCTTCCAGCTGAGGAGGGTGCGGTGTCCAAAATAGATGCCTGTCTGACTTTCAGCTTGGCAATGGCCCAACCTCATACCGGTGCCCCACCAATGTAGTTTCAAGGAGGGGGAGACAAACAGACGCGGTTCGGTCATGTCCTAGCAAAACATATGTATTCTCTGTGCATTTCGAGAAAGATTGCGCCCGGCAAAGAAATCTCATGCGTCAGAAAGACTCTTAATTAAACAACTATCTGGCATCATCACCATGTTGGCTAATGAAATCCCATTAAAATACATTAAAATCATTAAATCCCACTAAGTTCCTAGTACTTACAATGAAATCCAGACTGTATCCAGTTGTAACTTCGGGGCCGCCCTTTTCCATTGGTGGCTCCACTCAGGGCTGAGCTGAGGTCGGCCAAGTGCTGGGACCCGAACTCAGAGGACCTCGGCTTTGGAGCAGTAGCCAGTAGCCCCGCAGAAAAACATTAAAAAACGGTAGAGCCGAACCAACAAACACAATGCAACCACCATGATTCATCATTGCAATTACAAAATGCATAAAAATACTGTATATATATATAGTCCTAAGGTTTCACGAAATATAGTTCGACAAAAGACTATTTCACTAAATTTTGTTCTAATACCTAAACGAAGCACGAAATTACTGTACCACTATATTACATTGTATTACTACATAGGTATTATACAAATTCACGTTTATATCGATGGTATTTTTCTTTCTCTAACTTGTGGTAGTAGAGATTTCACTAAATCATTCAGTTCTGAGGCCCTCGGCCGTTGACAGCAAGACATCAGGAAGGCAACGTCTCGGTATTCGAGCCGTGCCCTGGCTGTGGCAGTGGTCACAGGCTGACTTAGTGGATGATATGATTGATAGTCGATATATGCATAGTATAATTATTGTTGACATATGCTAATATATATATATGTTTATATATGTGATCAAGGTTGATATATGATAGTTGGTTATAAGGTATTAAATAATATTATATATATGCCGACATATGCACATATATTTATACATAATGGTGATTATAGTTGATGAGGTTCTACATCTGGGTTGAATCACTGGCTGATATTTGATTTTTAGTTCACGATAGTTGAGGGATTGTTCATTGGGGGTGAAAGTTCTGTGTGAGACTCGGCGCTTCGTTGGGTCCACTGAAATGCGGGTTATGGTCATCCCACCATCATAAGGGATCCCTTACATTAATGGGTATGAATGCAAATAAAAACCCCTATTCATGGTGCTATGACCATCCAATCTATCATAACCTATCCTTTGACCATGGCACATATTAGCTATGGCATCACTTAATCTTCCCACTCTGCCAAGTCGCATGGACCAGACGAGGTTGGAAAAATTCTGCAGGTTGAACTCCTGTCGCAGCAGTGAGCCCACCCGCAGGCTCGGCAAAGACACGAGGGCACAAGCCACAAGTCTGTGAAGCTCACGGTGACCCAGTGACCCAAGACCCAGCAAAGCACGTAGGAGGTTGCATCAATTCCCATAATCAACTCCGATGATCCCCAATTATAATGATGTATTTTTGAGAATGTTTGAAGCGTGTCAAAACTACATCTGACTGCGGGGCCCTTCCGTGCAGCAACACGCACTAACACAGCTGGCCTCAGGACGTATCTTCGTAAATATAGCCGACACCAGCGCTGGCTCAGATTGCCTGGTCAGGCGCTTGCGACAAAGTTGAAGCTGATTTAAAGCTCCTACAGGCAAACAGTAAGACTAATAGCACCATAATCCACCATAGCACACATTAGCACATACAAGCACATATCAGTACCTGTCAGTACATACTCCTACGTATGGCAGATCAAACGCCAGAAGATCCTTTAGCTCAGCAAGCTCCCTGCGGCCCCTGCCGCAGCGTTGCCAAGGACCATGCAAAACTTGACCTCGTTGCGCCCCATGGGGGCCCAGGGCGCCTGTGAAAAGAACAAGGCCGAATAGAAAAGATGAAGATGACCTGCACATGGATCCAGACTCTTGATGCTGATACTGCTAGTGCTATGACATTCCAGTTCACCAACCTGAAAAATGATACTTGGGGATGATTCCCTTTACCAACCATCATAATTCTTTGAGATAGTGTGGGATTGATAGACTGCCATCCACTGCTTCCGCCCGCGTGCACTGGGAATCTGACAAGTCCTGCATTCGGAATTCAGCCAGCTTCCTCTGGCCGTTGGTCAACTCAAAAATATCTGGGATCCCTCGAAGAAACGATGACAAAACATCTTGCTTCTTAAACAAACGATCATATATATATATATATGAATGGAATTCATGCTGTAACCTCAAAAGTATGTAATATTTGCATATTGACATTGCATTTTTTGACTGCGCCCTCCACACGGACCTTTGGCGACGCTACCCCACCAAACCCTTATTACTGGACATGGCTTTGCGTGCACCTCAACCTCTCATACATATGTTGAAAGCGTATTTAATCTATCTTGCTTCCATAACCAGCTTGAGCTCCCAACCCCCCGGGCTTAGCTTTTCCTAACGGAGCGACAGACCGCCGATTCGGAAAACGCGGCATGCAGCGGCTCAGGCGCTACAACGTCAGCGAACAAAAATGGCGCCCAGAAACCGAGCAACAGCGCATGCAAGCTACTAATTCAATTCTTGACAACATTTCGGATTGGTAAAAGAAATCATGAAACTCCATCCTCTCAGGCAAAGCTCGGGTCAATTGGATCATTCAAGTAGAAACAACAGCAGTTTGAAAACCGCCAAGCAGATTGTAACAATAGGCCTCCTGAGGCATGGTGTGGTGTAAATGGACGAGGTCTGAAGGATGGGACTCTGCCTCTATCAGACGGTCGTGCATAGTATCATGGGGTTGTCACTGTGGCACAGCTGCTGTTCAAATTGTCCTGAATCTCAACACTTGAAGGCTCAAATCTAGGTGAACTTGTCACCATTCGCCATCATTCAGACAATGT